GGGGAAAACGGAGAACGGCGATTGTTGTGCACGACGCCGCTCGGAGCAGCCGCGCGTTCCGTTCGAATCTGCCGCCAAATCGGCATTCGGTCTCTCGCTCACTTTCTAATTTCGTCCTTGTATCGTCTCATTGTGCGCGTCACGCGCCGTTTTATAATATTCACTGTTCTCGAATTTAGCCGTCGCGCGTCCGTTCACGCTCGGCTTAAATAACAGGCTGGGCGGCCGGCCGGCTTTCGCGCGGATTCGAAATTACACGATACGCGCTAGACGCCGTCCGTTATTTGTGTAAACGAAAGATGTCCCATTATTGTTATTACGTACCAGGTGTTTCGAGGTTCACGGTGGATTGATTGCGGCGGCGGCGGCAACGAAAACAGCTGCCAATGTTTACATTATTGCGCCTAGCCCATTAATTGAGCAAGACGAGTTAACTCGTCCGCTGTGCTGCCCGGCACGTTCCCGATGTCTCCTTACTTTTTATCGCGTCGCCTGATCTTCCCGCGATCCCCAGAAATGGCCGCGCGAAAGCCCCGCCGACCATCGATTTTTGCTTTGCATTCGCGATTACGCCGATCGTATTTTATTCATCGACGAAACAGGCGACTTCGACAACGTCCACGGATAATTGGAGAAGGATCGCGCGCGAAACGGATGCTTCGAACAGCTTCGAAAACTACGTTGAAACCGGAAATCGAAGATCTATAGAACGTGGGAGAGATCGGAGATCGAAGATCGATAGAAAATCAACAGAAAATTAACGAAGCCTTGTTGTAAGAGACGCGACGGAATCTATTTGTTTAGTAATTCTTAATTAGCGCGTGGAATTAATCCTTGAATTGAATTTACACGTTATTAAAGTTTACGGTTAAATCCTTTCGATAGATCGTTGAAAAATTAGCGTACAGATTAAATTTCCAATACATTGGAAATATATATTTTTCGCTATTTTTGTTGTAATTTAGACTGCGGATTTCGTGCATTTCTTAGAAGAATCGGAGGATATTGAGATATTTCAATATTCTTTTAATTTATTCGTGTTATTAGGGGAAGTACAATGTTGCTAAATGACTCTTGCACCGGTTCGACCGATTGATCGAATTACTTATTTTGCATAAAGATGCGCAGTCTAGTTACAATTTAGAGTTTATTTACATACACGTGATTCAGACGCTTCGGTGTATAAAAATATTAAAAATTGTATAATAATTGTAGAAAAAATCATACGAGAATTGTACGATGTAAGCATGAATTAAAAAGTTCGTTCAACTATATCCTACGAACAAGAAGCTCGATAATTTTCTTTTAACGCTAGGCTTACGGAGCCCTAGAAGCGGCTATTTTATACAGTTTCGTAAAAGTAACAAGCACTCATTTATTTAAAATTCTAGCTAGTTTTATCATAATTAGACCGGGAATTTTATGCATTTACGGCGAAAACGGGCCGATCAATGCAAAACATGAAATAGATATAAAGAACTTCAGAATAATATTGTGTTCCCTTCAAGTTATTAGAATTGTTTAACATTATCGTTAAACGTTATTTCTGTAGCTTCTGTATCTCGCAAAAAAAGAGACAGACAATTTTTATTTCGCACAAAAATCCACAGTCTGATCACAATATAAGACGTCTAATAACGTCTAAAATAATAATAAACGTCTAAAATAATAATAAAAGTCTAATCACGAATAAAAGAAATTTATTCAATAAATTACCCCTAAATATATCCTCACAATTGCAACAATCGTGATATAAACAATCTGCACAGCATTTTGTTGCGTTCCGCAAACCAATCGTGAAAGAAACAATTTCAGAAGGAATTACGACAAGTCGCATTATACCATCAATTGTGCCGTTTCTTTTGAAAGTGGCATAAGTCACTTTACCGTAATGAAAAGTGGTGATTTTTTAATGTTTATACGAAATGATTTATACTGAGAAAAATATCAGTATCCTGAGATAACAAAGTAACAAGTAAATCTTCTCGAAAGTTAGCATCCATATTTTTCAACGTGTTAAAACGCAAACCCTCGAATATATCGACTTAAAAACAAAAAGTGACTCTTACGCCACTTTCAAAATAAACGGCTCAATTATTATAACATTTCAGGTATCGGAATAATTCGTCGAAAATTCGGACAAAATCGTAGCCGCCCGCGAGCAATATATTTTCAAAAAGAATTCTCGGCCGTCGAATTACGACTTCGCAATAAGTATCAGAAAACCGCGCGGGGGGCACTTGGAGTGCGAAAAAGAAAAGAAAGAAAAAAAAGAAAGAAAAAAAGAATCAAAGAAGAAAATGTGAAACCGGTCAATGACCGGGCACAAACCGGCGAGCGCGAGTCTAGTCGGCGAATCAATTGCGAAGAAACTCTAATCGTCGTAGCCGTGAAATACACGTCGGGGCGCGAGCGACCGGCGCGCGGTCGAAAATGAACGCGATATTCCGGGCGGACAATTACCTGGTAGCAAAAAACTGCGGATTCGCCGGGTGTTTTTCAAGCGTGACCGGCGGTGTAGCCCCTTAAGGGATGCGGTTNGCCGTTTCTTTTGAAAGTGGCATAAGTCACTTTACCGTAATGAAAAGTGGTGATTTTTTAATGTTTATACGAAATGATTTATACTGAGAAAAATATCAGTATCCTGAGATAACAAAGTAACAAGTAAATCTTCTCGAAAGTTAGCATCCATATTTTTCAACGTGTTAAAACGCAAACCCTCGAATATATCGACTTAAAAACAAAAAGTGACTCTTACGCCACTTTCAAAATAAACGGCTCAATTATTATAACATTTCAGGTATCGGAATAATTCGTCGAAAATTCGGACAAAATCGTAGCCGCCCGCGAGCAATATATTTTCAAAAAGAATTCTCGGCCGTCGAATTACGACTTCGCAATAAGTATCAGAAAACCGCGCGGGGGGCACTTGGAGTGCGAAAAAGAAAAGAAAGAAAAAAAAGAAAGAAAAAAAGAATCAAAGAAGAAAATGTGAAACCGGTCAATGACCGGGCACAAACCGGCGAGCGCGAGTCTAGTCGGCGAATCAATTGCGAAGAAACTCTAATCGTCGTAGCCGTGAAATACACGTCGGGGCGCGAGCGACCGGCGCGCGGTCGAAAATGAACGCGATATTCCGGGCGGACAATTACCTGGTAGCAAAAAACTGCGGATTCGCCGGGTGTTTTTCAAGCGTGACCGGCGGTGTAGCCCCTTAAGGGATGCGGTTCCAGCTCGATAAATCTATCTATCGCCTGGGTTGGCTCCGGGAGCGTGCCGCGGCAGCACAGACTCAATTAAAAGCAGTTGTACCGGGCGCCTCCGCGCGAACTTCGAGGATCCCTCGGCCGCGGCGGCGGCAGGAGAAGAGCGGATCGTTCTCGACCGCGCGTCGTCGTCGTCGTCGCCGCCGCTACTCGAAGATCCTTCGAGCAAATATTAAATACGGCGGTTCTCTCGCGGCGCGGCACGTTGCGGCGCGGCGCGGCGCGACGCGGCGGCCCGTTGCGAAGAATGCCGTTGCGACACACTCGTGAACACGATCTCGACGCGTAATTTGCATAAGTACGTACGTACGTGGAAAGGACGAGCGACGGGGATCTCCGTCTCGTAAATTCGACGTCGCGGCGCGGCGCTCGCGAAGGACGCGACTGGTCCCGGCTCGCGCGGCGAACAAAGACAACAAGAATCTCTGAAAGCAAGAGGAAAAAGAATCGGCGGAGGGGGGGAGAAGGAGGGGGCGAAGCAGGCGGAGGAGAAGGAGAAAGAGGACGACGACGACGAAGAAGAAGAAGAAGAAGAAGAGTAATAGTAGTAGTAGTAAGAGGAAGAAGAAGAAGAAGAAGAAGAAGAAGAAGAGGAAACGATTCGTCGGCGAGGATCGATCGGCGAGGAGTCGCGTGCCGCGATTTATCATCGATCGTCCCGCATCGATTGGGCACCGGCGAACTCGTATACACCTGGCGCGGGATAGAAGAAGCGGGTCGAGGGACAGAGGACCGCGGCAGGGAGGTGGAAGAGGAAGAGGAACAGGAAGAAAGGGACACGGAGAAACGGCGAGACAAAAGGTGAAATTTCTCCGGGCTGAAGGAGAGAGAGCGGAGGGAGAGAAGACACCGAGGCGGCCGCGGCCATCGTCGTCGTCGTCGTCGTCGCTGCCGCCGTCGTCGTCGTCGTTGCCGCCGCCGTCGTCGTCGTCGTCGTAGCAGCCACCGCCGCCGCCGCCGCCGCCGCCGTCGTCGTCGACGTCGCTGGCAGCCGGCGGGAGGCTCCGAAACCGAGCGAGACCGAGCGCAGTCGATGGAGGTCGGAAACGCACGAACCTCGCGGCTCGAGCGACCTAACCAGCGACACGGCCAAGCAGTGCGGTGCCGACTCTTGCTGCCGCGGTTCCAGGTTCCGTGGCGCGCGTGCACTTGTGTTTACGCGTTCAAAGAGAGGGAGAGAGAGAAAGAGAGAGGGAGGGAGAGATAGAGATAGAGAGAGACCTACGCACACATGCGAAGAGAGAGAGAGAGACAGAGAGGTGTTCCGAAAATTGAGAGACAGACCGGTCGAAGTACAGGGAGACCGGGGCAAGACGAAGAGGAACAAAGGAAAGAGGCGAGGAGGAAGCGAGCTAGCTCACGGCCGAGTTTTATCGCCGAGCCGCATGAAATTTTAGGAGCGGCACGCTGTCGCGTTATCGGAGCAACGCGGCCAGCCGTCCCGTCCCGTCCGTCGGCGCGAGCTGCGAGGCCACCGAGGATCACCGCTCTTGCTCTCGCCCTCGCCTAGCCGTCGACGTCGCCGACATCGCCGACACACCGCGTACCACACCGGAGAAACGCACCTCGCGTCGAGAGAGCTTTGAATCGAGCGTCGAACCGCGTTCGTCGGCCGGGGCGTGGGTGCCAGCGAACAAGCGCCTAGACGGCCGAATCCTCGCGCGCGCGAGCGAGAGAGAGACAGCGAGATAGACCGAGGATAGAGAGCGAAAGATTCAAAGAAAGAGAGAGTGAGAGAGAAAGAAAGAAGAGAGAGAGAGAGAGAGAGAGAGGGGACAGGTACAGAAAAAGAAAGAGAGAGAGAGAGCTATGATCGCAGCGGCCGGCAACGACTCGTCCTGAGAGCAAGGTTCGCGTTTCGGTGCTCCGAAAGAGGAGAGCAGCGGAGAAGGCGAGGGAGAAACTCGGGGAAAAAGAAAGTCTCGCTGGAGGATATTCGGTCCGGGCAGCGATCGTCCGGGAGGTGGTCACGTGTGTCCGCGCCGGTGAAAACCGTGTGAGAGAGCGCGGACTCTCGAAAACCGAGACTTTCGCGCGGCCCCGTCCGAAAGCGGACGGGCGGACGACGACACCGAACGATTCGGCGGACTTTTTCGGGTCTCTCTTCGCGGCACGTCCGAGAGGATCGGGAGCGATTTGAAGGATCCGGCGCCGAGTGAGAAGAAAAAGAGAGATATATATATAGAGATAGATAGAAAGAGATAGAGAAAGAGAGTGAGAGATAGGTCGCGGGGATCCGTCGGCGAGCGCGCGGAGCAGGAGGTTTCGCTCTCGAGACCGGTCTCGCCGGCTATCCTGGAGGACGATGACGATGGTAACGAGGATCGCGAGCGATAACCGGAGGACGTTCAGCTCGAGAGGGCTCGATTGAACGGCTCCGCTCGCTCCAGGCCCCGGCTCGGCCCGGCCCGGCCCGGCCCCGCGCTCGTCTCCACGTCTGGACGGCGGCCATCCGTTCTTTCTTATCCTGTAATCGTCGAATTACCGGACGCGGAATCGGCGCGCGACCACGCAAGCACGGTTTCGGACTCGGCGGCCGACCGGCTTCGGTCCCGTCGCGTCGCGTCGTCGGGACCCCCACGGTGGATTATTCTATTGATATTCCGGTGACAGTGTGCCAACACAGTGAGTGCAGTTTCGTGCGAGCTTCGGTCCCGATAGTGGCGGAGGCGGAGGCAGGAGGAGGAGGCGGCGGCGGAAACACCGGGAACACACCGGCACAACCAGCAGCGGAAACTTCGGCTCGCGAAACTCTCGTCTCTGAGAGAGCCGTCGGATCGCGGCGCTCTTCGTCCCCGTCGGCGGGAGTGCCGGCGTCATCCAGGAGGAGCCCGACGACGGAGGAGGCCGCGACAGGGCCCGGAACGAGCCGGTCCTACTACGACGGTCCTTTGTCGCTCCTCGACTAGGGCCGATCCTCGTGCTTCGCCGAGCTCCGCTCGCTCCACCGGGAAACCCATCGAGGCGGAAGCGACGGGAAACCGAGCGGACCTTCCCAGCCCAGAGGGACCCGAGAAAGAGAGAAAGAAAGAAAGAGAGGGAGGGAGAAAGAGAGAGAGAGAGAGAAAGAGAGGGAGAGAAAGTGAGAGAGAGAGAGAGAGCGAAAGAGACCCTTTTGTTCCCCCAGTTACGCTATCCAATTATCGGCAGGCCGAAGAAGGCATCGAGCGTGCTCTTCTCGCGCGAGCACCGCCGACAGGAAGCGCAACTCTTCGCCCCGAGCCACCGAGAGGAATAATCGGCGAGGATGCAGGTGGCAACGCTGTTTAGGGAGAGCGCCACCCTGCTGGGTGCCTCCAGCCTGGACCCCCCGCAGACCCACCATCACCAGGCGATGCAGCAGCAGCACCAGCAGCAGCAACAGCAGCAGCAGATCCAGCAACATCCGGCGGACCTGCATCTAGCGCATCACATGCAGCATCACTACAAAATGTAAGTCGCCGTGCAAAGCCGACTCTATTGCTCCGCGTAACCACCGATTCTATGTAACCTCGCTGGTGTTCCCCGCTGTCGAAAAGGGCCCGATATATCGACGGGCCCGACGCTCTGGAGGAGAGAAAACCCGGGTCTCTCTGTGCCGTCGCGTCGCACCGAGAACGCGGCGCTCCCGGAGCCGAAGGCTCCCGTCGAATCCGTCCGCGAAACTCCGAGCTCCCAGCTGGAAAGCTAGGCCCTAACTAACTCGGAGAAGTTCGCTCGATCGAGGGACGCCGCCTCGAATCGGATCAGCTGATCGGCTGAAAAGTATCGGCGAGAAGAGGGAGAAACGTGGCCGCCGCCGCCGCCGCTGCCGCGAGAAAGTCGGCGCGGCGGCCGTCGGACCGAGGCTGTCGCCGCGGCGCGACCGCCGCGAGAGCCGATCGTTTCCTCTGAATTCGCGGAAACGAACGGTTGCCCAATTTTAGCAAGCGATTCGCGGGACTCCGAGGTCGCGAGCATGTCGCTGGCATATCTCGAGCCTAGTCGGAGCAACGGAGGAGTCGCTTCTTCTTCTCGCTGTTTCACCCGTCGGCCGCCGCGAAATCGGCAGATCCGCCGGCAGATTTTTCCGGCCGATTTCGGGCCAGCCCCGTAACGTTATCGCGTCTTTAAACCGGCGGAATGGTTCCGCTCGGCCGGAGGGAACGGGAAGAGACGTTACCCCCGGAGGCAGCCGGAGACCCTTTTACGGATCCACGTCACGCGCCTTCAAGGGACAGGCCAGCATTTGTATTCGTTGCGCAAGGTCTGGTCGTGCCCTAGCCCCGTTCCTTCTCGTACCGTAGAATTTGTTCGACGTATCTCTCTCACGACGGTGATGTACGTTATCGGCGCGCGATCGTCGCCGCCGCGCCGCGCCGCGCCGAGCCGAGCCGCGCCGCGATAAACCCCGCCGGCCATGGGAGGACGTTTGAATTGCAGACGCGCGCGCGTGGCCATCGCCGGAAATAAAGATACCGGAGACCGCGGACGAGCAGACCACCGAGCAAATTTCGTTGCGAAAGGCCGGCGCGGCGCGTCCTCGGCTCCGCTGCTTCGCCACCCTCGAGCACACGGCAACGCGACGATATCGCGCGGAACCGTTGCGAAATAAGGAAAATCGACGGGAATGATCGCACCGGTGCGACTCGATGACGATTCGACGATTCGCTACGCCGAAACAACTGCGGCGGGCAACTCGAGCGAGCGGTCCGACGACGACGACGATTTTGACTTTGATGCGTCAAATGAATGACGATTGCGTTCGATAAGGAACTTCGTCGCGCGATAGTCGTCGCGCCGCTGCTATCGGGAACAGACGACGATCGACGCCGATTCTACGTTCGCTTCGGCCGTCGACGGCACGGTTTTTCCTCGTTAAGGGGATGCTGCGAGACGCGACTCTCGTCGGCCGGTTTGACGTCTCGCGGAGAAAATCAGGACGCGATTAAAACACCGGCTAGAAACGCGACGTTAACGAGGAAAACCTGCGCGAGAGGGGACAAGATATATGTATATATATACAAGGTGTTCCAAAATTATGGTATTCCCGAGAAATGTGAGGTTCCTGAGATCATTTCAAGCAACTTTTTCCTTTACAAAAATGTTCTCCGAGGCATCGTTAACGAGTTATTAACGAAAAACGCTGACCAATGAGAAGCGAGCTCGGCTAGCGCGAGGGTGGCCGAGAGCACGAAGCCCAGTTCCGTTCATTGGCTCGCCCGCAACGCGCCAGCTGATCTCGCCTCTCATTGGTCACTGTTTTTCGTTGATAACTCGCAAACGAAGCCGCGGATCGCGTTTTCGCTAAGGAAAAAGTTACTTCGAATGATCTCACGAACCCCTCGGTTCACGGAAATACAATAATTTTGGGACACCCTGTACCGTCACCGTCTTCTGGAACCGCGATTTCCGCAGTCGACGGGGTCCACACGGGCGAAAACGGAGACGATAAGCATGTCCGACGCGGCCCTCCCGAGAATCGAAGCCAAACCGCGAGAAGTTTCGAGCAGACGCGAGGGCGCCAATAGGTCAAGGCTGCGTTACGCTTCGCCGACTATATCCCTCGGCTCTCTCTCTCTCTCTCTCTCTCTCTCTCTCTCTCTCTCTCTTTCTCTCCGAATCCGCGGATCGACCGGTCAAACGTCCGTCTCGCAGAAGTTCCGCCGCTTTTTCGTCGACGGAGAACGGGCTCTTCGCCGTCGCGCGCGTCGACACGCTGCGTAACCGTTGCCACTCGTTAGCGTCGCGTCTGTTCGACGGCGTCGCGTTAACGAGACCAAACTGCGGCGTCTCCGACGGAAATTGGCGGAGACGGGAGTGTCGGGGGAGAGGCGGGGCGTGATCAACGGGACGAATGTGTAACAGGCGGAAGAGCCCGCGAAACTGAGGCCGCGGTTCCCGTAGGAAGCGTGAACGGAGCCGCGTGGCCGAGCCGGAGGAGTTTCGGCGCGGATCACACCGGGGCGGAGGAGAGGCGGTAAACGATTTCATCGCGGCCGTAACAGAGCCGAGCGCTGGGAAAAACGAGAGGAAAGAGCGCGGAGGCGGCCACGCGTCACAGATAAATCGTGCCTCGCCGATAAATCGACCTTATCAATAAGATCGAGGCTCCTTCGCGCCCTTCTCCACCAAGTTCGCCCGCTCTCTTCGCTCTCTCTCTCTCTCTCTCTCTCGCTCTATCACTCTCTCTTTTTCTCTCTGTCGCTCTCTCGCGCGCGCGCTCACCGGATTCCTCCGATTCGCAGCCGCTCGGCCCCGTCGGAGTTATTCATGTATTCCATAAGTTCGGAATACATGAATAGCCTACAAGCTGCAGGTATCCGCGAATCGTCTCCGATAAAGCCGTATTCTTTGCCGCGGCAATTTAGGACCGTTTAAGGTCCTCCGGCGAAGCAACCCGAACGGGACCCGGGTCCTGCGACCAGAGCTTGTCCACGGTGTCGGGCACAAATTCTCCGTCCGATCCGCTCTATCCTCTACCGCCGGCATTACCGTTGCTTCCAGCATAGCTGGTCGAACGATTAACGCTGCGGAGACGACGTTTGATGCGCGGATAGCACACCTGGAGACAAGCGGCGAAAGAAGTGTCACGCGATTTTGACCGACGTTAATCATTGGGTGCACGGAAGACGGCGATCTCGGCGATTATGGTGGCGAATATTAGGGACGGTGTTGTCGATGATGTTAATCTTTTAATTGATTTAATATAAGGGAGAGATAGTTTCCGTTGCTGGTGGATAATTATTGGACCGCGGATCGTTGCGTTTAAAATAAAAATTGCCTTCGTTAATTCGAGGATAGAGAAGTTACGCGGACTTTTAGTGAATTTTTTAATCGCTTTAGTGAGTTGATGTAAGCGATGTGATAAGATTTTCGAATTGATTAAAAGATGTTGCTGTTTTGCAACGTTCTGCAACGTTCGATCTACACGTTTTTGTCATAATCGCGTAAAATTCGCGGTCCGATTATTGTATGTACATATTCTGTGCTGCGGAATTGTTATGTTGACGATGATACAAAATGATGAAAAATGATTGAAAAAGAATGATAAAAAGACTAATGAATTCAATGAATGAAAAAGAAGCAGCTATTGCGGCAAAATAGAAGAAAGGATGCCGAAATAATGATTTTGAATATATTTAAAGATGGTGAATACGGACTTAAGATCTTTAATTACCCAAAATATATCAGTGTTAGAAAGCGACTACGAAGATATAGAAACAAATCAATAAATTGCGATACAGAATTCGCAAGAGTGGAGATCCGAAAAATAAGTTCAAACCGTTTTCAAGGTTTGCCCTAAAAATGACGGTGCCAACTGTGAATTTTATGCCCTCATAGCAAAAGTGTCCCAAAGAGTTTAGACCGTCTCTACTAAATACTAATGCATTTTTATCGCAATATGTGGCGAACGAAAAAACAAATTCAGTGATTTCCTACAAAAGCCTCCTCTATAATTTCACCAATTTTAAACATAGAAAATGCGAAGCCGGTTATTTCGCCCGATTTGACTAGCCTTCATTTATTTATTTATTTAGTTATAAACGAGTTAAACCCTTTGGTACAACGATACACAGTGACACACAGTGTTGAAATTGATTAAAGCAGGCGGCGCGCAATTAATGCAAGCAATCTTTATTTCGCGCGAAGCTTCTGCAGTCTGTTCGCACGCGAGGATGCCACGGCGTTTCGGAGCGTCGACAATTCATAGATAAATTAGCGCCGTCCGCGTAGATTGGCCGAGTAGGTGCGGTTTCTCTTGTCTCGGCAGTGCCCCACGGGGCGACCCAGTCCGCGAAATTGTAAGCAACGAGACGACCGAACTGTCTCGAAAATAACAGCGCTCCGGATTGCGTTTCATTCGGCGGAACCCTGACCTAGGTTTCTCGCGAACCCGAGCCTGTGTCTCGAAGAGATCGGTACCTCGGGCGCCGTCTCGTTCGGCGAACGTTGTCGAAGAGAAAAAAGAAAATCCGAAGGTGTATCTCGTCGACTGCGTCGAGTCGCGCGCTTAACCGACTTAGGTACAGATTTGCTCGAAAAAATTCGAGTAAAAGTTTGGAACTGGATTTAATACAAAGGCGGTAGATTTCTTGCGAGAATTCATTCATTTGAGCGACACAACCCTTTGCAGTCGAAGCTATTTCAATTCGAAATCCGAAACATGTTCTCCGATCCATAGTATTGGGTTGGCAACTAAGTAATTGCCGATTTGTTCAATGAAATACAAAATTTTTGTTTACTTGGAACGAAGTTTAATCTGTAATGTATTTTCCATTTTGTTCGATGACCTTTTGCCATCTCTCTGACAACTTGAAAATTCCACGCTCGTAGAAAGTCTGATCCTTTTCGGCCGAAAACTGAGTTAAGCGAGATTTTACAGCGTCGTCATCGTTAAAAGTTTTACCACGAAGGGAGTTGTCCAGGGATCGAAATAAGTGGTAATCCGATGGCGCGAGATCAAGGCTATA